GAGAAATCACCACACTGATATCCAAAGGGGTTGTACCAGCTTGCATTCTCACCAGCAATGCAGAAGTGTTCCCTTTTCTTCACAACTTCCCCAGCATAAATTGTTATCAGTGTTTTGATTCTTACAGGTGTTAAGATGGAATCTCAGAGTTGTTTTGATTTGCATTTCTCTGATGACTAAGGATGTTGAACATTTCCTTAAGTGTCTTTCAGCCATTTTAGATTCCTCTGTTGAGAGTTCTGTTTAGGTTTGTACTCCATTTTTTTTTATTGGATTATGTGATCTTTTGGTGTCCAGTTTCTTGAGCTTTTTGTATATTTTGGAGATCAGACCTCTGTCTGATGTGGGGTTAGTGAAGATCTTTTCCCATTCTGTAGGCTGTTGTTTTGCCATGTTGACCATGTCCTTTGCTTTATAGAAGCTTTTCAGTTTCAGGAGGTCCCATTTATTAGTTGTTTCTCTCAGTGTCTGTGCTGCTGAGATTCTATTTAGGAAGTGGTTCCCTGTGCCAATGTGTTCAAGTGTACTTCCCACTCTCTCTTCTATAAGGTTCAGTGTGGCTGGCTTTATGTTGAGGACTTTAATCCATTTGGACTTGAGTTTTGTGCATGGTGATAGATATGGGCCTATTTGCATTCTTCTACATGTTGATATCCAGTTATGCCAGCACCACTTGTTAAATATGCTTTCTTTATTCCATTTGATATTTTTTGCTTCTTTATCAAAAATCAGGTGTTTGAAGATGTGTGTATTGATATCCGGGTCTTCTATTCGGTTCCATTGGTCGTCCTGTCTGTTCTTAAGCCAATACCAGGCTGTTTTCAGTACTGTAGCTCTGTAGTAGAGTTTGAAGTCAGGGATTGTGATGCCTTCAGAAGTTCTTTTATTGTACAGGATTGTTTTGGCTATCTTGGGTTTTTGCTTTTTCAAAGGAAGTTGAGTACCATTCTTTAAAGGTCGTTGAAGAATTTTGCTGGGATTTTGATGAGCATTGCATTGAATCTGTATATTGCTTTTGATAAGATTGCCATTTTTACTATGTTAATTCTGCCTGCCCAAGAGCATGGGAAATCTTTCCACTTTCTGGTGTCTTCTTCGAATTCTTTCTTCAAAGATTTAAAGTTCTTGTCATGCAAGTCTTCCACTTGTTTGGTTAGAGTTACTCCAAGATATTTTATGCTGTTTGTGGCTATTGTGAAGAATGTTTCTCTGATTTCTTTCTCAGCCCATTTATCATCTATGTGAAGGAGGGCTGCTGATTTTTTTTTTTTTAGTTAATCTTGTATCCTGCTACATTGCTGAAAGTGTTTATGAGTTGTAGAAGTTCCTTTATAGAATTTTTGGGATCACTTATGTAAACTATTACATCATCAGCAAACAGTGAGAGTTTGACTTCTTTTCCAATTTGTATCCCCTCGATCTCCCTTTGTTGTCTTATTGCTCTAGCTAGGACCTCAAGAACTATATTGAATAGATATAGAGAGAGTGGACAACCTTGTCTTGTTCCTGATTTCAGTGGAATCGCTGGGGGTTTCTCTCCCTTTAGTTTGATGCTGGCTGTTGGCTTGCTGTATATTGCCTTAATTATGTTTAGGTGTGTTTCTTGTATCCCTGCTCTCTCAACGACCTTTATCATGAAGGGATGTTGTATTTTGTCAAAAGCTTTTTTGGCATCTAATGAGGTAATTATGTGGTTTTTATTTTTCAGCTTGTTTATATGGTAGATTATGTTGACAGATTTTCTTATGTTGAACCATCCCTGCATCTGTGGGATGAAGCCGACTTAGTCATGGTGGATGATGGTTCTGATGTGTTCTTGGATACGATTTGCTTGTGTTTTATTTAGTATTTTTGCATCAATGTTCATGAGTGAGATTGGTCTGTAATTCTCTTTCTTAGCAATGTCTTTCTGTGGTTTGGGTATCAAGGTAATTGTAGCCTAATAAGAGTTTGGCAATGCTCCTTCTGTCTGTTGTGTGGAATAATTTGAAGAGTATTGGTATTAGTTCTTTGAAAGTCTTGTAGAATTCTGAGCTGAAACCATCTGGTCCTGGGCTTTTTTTGGTTGGGAGACTTTTGATAACTGTTTCTATTTCTTCAGCACTTATAGGTCTGTTTAATTTGCTTATCTGGTTGATCTTGACCTTCTTAAAGGGACAGTAGAAGACATAGTAGACTGTCCTTCCTGCTCTTGTCACCTATCCTACTGGAAAGACAGCAAAGGAAAACTAAGGGTAACATTTGCCACAAGGGAATAACAATATGAATGGGAAAATAAGAGCCCCAAGATCCTCCATGGCAACAGGATGCCCACAGAGAAAGGTTGGTAGTATGCCAGATGTAAGCCCTCAGCAGACTTCTTGGTGCCAAACAAGTGACTGCACATGTCACAGCTGGAAGGCTCTTAGAGGGCATTGGTGCCAGCCAGGAACAGTCTCTTGCAGAGCAAGCCTGCAGTTCACAGACCAGAGGAGCAGCAGTGCAGGTGCATCCAGAAGGCTTCAGTCAAGAGAACTCTGTGCAGGGGGCAGAAGTTCGGTCATGCGAGCAGTCCTCTCTCTGACTCCACTCTTGAGTTCTCAAGTCTTTTGTTCTTGCAGCCCCAGGACATAAGAAATTATGGACCCTGGGCCCTAATTGGCATGCAAATAAGGTTAGAAATGGGCCAATCAAGGAGGAGCAGTCAAAAAGCTATCAGCAACTCCGGTGGCTAAGGTGTCATCTGTTACTCTTCTGACCTGATCCCACTTGGGGCTCTGACTGTAAAAAGTCAGGACCTTCATGCAGCTGAGGAGGGGTTAATTCCCCTGGGTGCAGCTGAGGAGGGGTTAATTCCCCTGGGTGCAGCTGAGGAGGGGTTGAGCCCCCTTCAGTCCCTTTGCTCTCAGGCATGGAAAGCTCTTTATTTGGCGAAGTTAATGTGCCCAGCTTATTCCTTGCTGATTCCGTAACACAATAAGATCTGGCCTTTAAAGTGGCTGGTTCTTTCTCTCTTCTCCACTGAAACAGTTGGGCTCTCACCTAACAACCCTCTTTGCTCTCATTTCCTCAAATAGTGGTCACAGAATCTGTTGACCCAGTTCACTGCTGACAGCATTTAAGTTGTATCGCTTCCTTTTAGCTCACAACCGTGTTTTACTAAGAAAAGGGACGAGATGTCAGCTTCAGTTAAATGACAAATGACTCTTACAGTTGGCAGTTAGATTCTCTTCTGATGTGGTGCTGTGCGAGTTTTCTGGAGAGATGGGGTCTAGATGACAGACCAAAAAAAAAAAAAAAAAAAGAATCCAAAGCTCCAAAGCTAGGCATGGTGGCGGAGGCTTTAATCCCATTGCTCACGAGTAGAAGCAGGTGGTTCTCTGTGAGTTCCAGGCCAGCCTGGTCTACATGGTGAGTTTCTGGACAGACTTAACTACGTAATAGAAAGACCTTATCTCAAAAACCAACAAAGAAAAAGAAATAAAAAGCTCTACCCAAGCCTAATGGATTTGCTGTAACTGACAGGAGCAAAGGCAGCTGTGCCTCCCCGCATTCCCCTCACAGCATGAAGGCCGCTCTGCTGGAGAGCATCTCTCTGCAGCAATTCCTGCTTTCAAACCTCTGGGAAAGGCCTTGCCTACCATGTAACCTGAGTGAGTTTCCTGAGCCTGTGGGCTTCCCCTGCTTCCCAGGCCCTGGGAGCCTCTTTCTCGCCCAGCAAGGAGGAAGTGATAAGCACCTGATATCTGATTTTGTGCTAGAACCAAAGCTGAACCTCTTCACAGCACCCACTTTATTCTGGGGCACCACAGTTCCTTCTTTCACCTCCTCGTGTCTAACCCACTAGAGCTGCACAGCTCAAGCCAAGATTACAGGGCAATAGGTCAGCCCATTGGAGGAAACTCGTGTCCAGAGTACAGCCCCTAAACATCCTGTAGTAACCAGGGAACATGGCAAGGAAATTATGATCATAGCACTAACTTACTAATTATTGCTCCCCTATGGAAATCCATGTGTTAGCTATATCAGACTTAGCCTTTATCCCAGCACTTGGGAAGCAAAAGCAAATGGATCTCTGTGAGTTTGAGGCCAAACCAGACTACACAGAGTTCCAGGCTAACGAGGGACACACAGTGAGATCCTGTGTTAACAAAACACCCATACTAGAGACCAGTTAGTAAAACAAGCTCGCACTCAGGGTCGGGTTGTAAAACCACAACCACAGACCACTATTATAACCCAGGTAAGTTTAGTCAGACCCTGCTTGTCCTGCTGTCCTATCACCCCAATGCAGCCAACTACAGTTTGTCGCTATCGTCTTTCAATGCACTCCTGTATTTTGTGAAATTAGTGAAAAGTTCGCAAGGCAGTGCTCTTGAATCAGAATATTTTTGTTTTAAAAACAAAAAAAAAATCATATTGCTAGCCAGGTGGTGGTGGATTTAATTCCAGCACTCAGGAGACAGAGGCAGGCAGATCTTTGAATTCAGGGACAGCTAGGGCTACAGAGCGACTTCTGGGACAGCCAGAGCTACACAGAGAAATCCTATCTCAAAAAAAATAAAACCACAAAGTAAAAGAAAAGAAAGAAGAAAGGGAGGAGGAAGGGAGGGAGAAAGGAAGAAAAGAAATTACAGGCACTGCTGGTGTGTAACTTACCATGTTACTAAGGAAAGAATAAACTAGGCGTGGAAAATGACGGCGTGATTCAGGTGTGTCTGACGAAGAGGACTGTGTAAAGAGCATATTTTTGTCATTCTGCTGGGTTTAATGTTGCTTATTTTCGGGCTAATTAGATGGAGTACATTCTAACAGTCTGTTATAGAGTGTAGCTTTAGTTTATTACAGCTGAGCGGGCATCGGTTGTGCACTGGCTTTGCCCTGGACTAGCTGAGCGGGCATCGGTGTCCGCTGGCTTTGCCCTAGACTAGCTGAGCGGGCATCGGTGTCCACTGGCTTTGCCCTGGACTAGTCTCAGTTTACATCCCTCACCGTGAAACCATATTTTTTTACTCACACAGCTCTACAAGCTGAGAGAAACTTGGGAAACTACATATTACAAGTATCTACACATGGTTGTAAAGCTTCAGTTCATGGAGCAGGAGCTAGCAGCGATAAAAACAGAACAAAAGAAGTGCGGACGCCTCCTCGAGAGCCACAAGAACTTAGAAGAAGAAGTTCTTCACTGCAGAAGCTGGATGCAGGAGCACGCGGTAGGTGGTGAGAGCCGTGTAACCCAAACAGAGCGACATGCTTGAACTCATTTCAGCACAGCGGTAATGTGGACTATACCCTTTGCGTTTCTTCCTCTTTCCATAACAGTAGTTGACTTTGTAGATTTCTGAACAGCATCTGTCTCTTCAAAGTTTTCAGTGTGTGTCATTGTTCTGGTTTGCTTTTCTATTGCTGTAAAACAAACAAACAAACCACTGACTGAAAACAGCTAGGGGAGGGGTGAACTGACTACTTTTATGTCAACTTGACACAAGTTAAAATGATCTAAAAGGAGGGAACCTCAGTTAAGAGAACACCTCCAGCTGGGCAGTGTAGTGCACACCTTTAATCCCAGCACTCAAGGGGCAGAGGCAGGTGGATCTCTTAGTCCGAGGCCAGCATGGGCTACAGGCATTCCAGGACAGCCAGGGCTACACAGAGCAACCATCTCAAACAAACAAACAAAAATAAAACAAAGAAAATGTCTCCACAAGATCTGGGTTTCTTAATTAGTGATTGGTGGGGAGAGCCGCTGGCCTTCAATTAGGGGGTGGGTGCTGGTCCTGAGTTCTATAAGGAAGCAGGTGAGCCAGGCATAGGGAGCAAACCGATAAGCAGCTCCCCTCCATGAGCTCTGCATCAGCTCCTGTCTCCAGGTTCCTGTCCTGAGTTCCTGCCCTGACTTCCTTCCACGATGGACTTGGAAGTGTAAACCAAATAAACCCTTTCCTCCACAACTTCTTTTGGTTCTGGGGTTTCATCACAGCAAGAGCAACCCTAAGACAGGAGGAATGTGTTTATAACAGGCTTCCAGGTCCTACTCACACTGAAAGAAACCAACGCAGAACTCCAGTGAAGCAGGGCAGGCTTGGTCTCCACATCTCCTTGCCCACAGGCCAATGCAATGGAGGTAATGTGTCAAGGGAGGTTCCTTCATCCCAGATATGTCTAGGTTAGTAACAAGTTTACAAATAAAATTATTGATCTTCCACAATATTTTAATTAGACAATCATTTGCGTCTTAAGACAATTGAGAAGAAAAAAGCTCTATATGAAAATTAAAACACACTCTTAAATATTTCCTTAAGTTACAGTTATATTTTTGTTTTTTGTTTGTTTTGTTTGTTTTTGTTTTTGTTTTTGTTTTTTGGTTTTTCGAGACAGGGTTACTCCGTAGCTTTTGGCTCCTGTCCTGGAACTAGCTCTTGTAGACCAGGCTGGCCTCGAACTCACAGAGATCCGCCTGCCTCTGCCTCCCGAGTGCTGGGATTAAAGGCGTGTGCCACCACCGCCCGGCTTACAGTTATGTTTTTAAAATGTTTTTGAGTTGATTCTTTTGTTCTGTGACTTATGAAACTACATTGGAGCTAGCATGAGGGTAACTCAGAACACAGGGCTCCAGGCTCAAAGAAAAACAATTTACTATTTTTATGTTTTAAATTTTTTAATAGTTTTTGGTTTGAGGGTTTGGGGTTTTGTGTGGGGGTGTGGGTATGATTTTTCAAGACAAGGTTTCTCTGTGTAACAGCTCTGGCTGTCCTGGAACTTGCTTTGTAGACCAGGTTGGCCTCAAACTCACAAAGATTCACCTGTCTCTGCCTCCTGAGTGCTGAGATTAAAGACATCTGCCACCACTGCCCGGCTTTAATTGGGTTTTAGTTGTTTTGTTTTGTTTTGTTTGAGACAGGCATTCAATATACAGACCAGACTGACCTCAAATTCAGAGATCTACCTACCTCTGTCTTCCACGTGCCGCCATGCTGACTTTATGTGTTAAATATGATGCAGTTGACATTAGTAATAAAAATTTTTAAATCCCACTATCTTATTTAACATACTTACAACTACCTGTGAATTGATGATTCTTAACTAAAGGGAACAAGAGCCAAGTATTTGTTCGAAGGTTAATTATTTTGGAATTTTGTACTTTTTGCTTTAGATCCAAGCAAGAGATCAAAACAAAACTAAGGATTTAAGAGATGCGGATGAAGTGGTCACGATAGGTGAGATGGAACTCAGAATTAAGACCCTGGAATCCCAGCTGGAATCCACGAGGGGAGGAGCTCAGCGCAGTCTCCGGGAAGGAGACTCCGAGCACCAAGCACCGCTGTGCTGGAGAGCGGCCAGTGCTGTGACACAGCCCCTGCTAAGAGAGCTGGGCGAGCAAGCCAGCCCGAGTCAGCGGAAATAGCGGAGCTTGGTTTGTCTCTGCCACAGGTGGAGGGGTACCGGGGACCAGACCTCACAACAGACTCGGAGTTAGAGAATGAATGTGCCCTTGGACTGCATTCGGGGAGGCTCTCGTTTCTTCCCCTTTTCAGTCTGGGTTTCTGTGGCCTTTTGCCCCCAATGCTTTCATGTAGCTAACATGGTTCATTAGTCTTTTAGGTTAATATTCTAAAGTTTTCTAAATAAGCCACTTATGTTCTTATTAAACTACTTTTTGCCATTTTATTGAATAGACATCTTAACGTGTAACTATTTGGGGAGTGTTATAACTTAACGGCGATGGACAAGGAGTAATGACAAATGCCCCTGCCATGTTCTGACATGGCAGACTTTCCTGGATTGGGATCTTTGATGTCATTTATTTGAAGGGTCCTTGTTGACAAACTGTCATTGGCAGGTTTTCTAGATGATATAAAGACACGCTTATGACACAGGAAAGGAACACACAAATGAGGGAAGAAAAATGGATAAAATCATCAAAATAACCGCATGGTCAGTATGAAGGGGTGTGTGAACCTCAGAAAGAACGGACCCCCGTTGGCTTGGTGATGTCACAATAATGGACTCAGGAGCAGCCACTCTCACTCCCGCTGGTCACCCCCAGAGTTTGCTGCTCTCCACCATCCCTCAGTGCCAAATACTTACTTTTGCCCAGGGTTCAGGTGAACTGTGCAGAGAGTAAAAGCAAAACCGTGAAATGACTTCAAGGAAGGATTTTTAAAGTCCTAAGCCAATTTACAAAACACAATTTACTTCTAGATTGGTTTTCAGTTTTATTTTTAATTAAGCATAATAATTATTAATAAATGTATGTTTAGCGCGATGTTTTTATAGTTAAACATGATTATACCCATCATCCACATAATTTTACTCCTTAAAGTACAAGTATTAGGGCTGGAGAGATGGCTCAGTGGTTAACATAACATCTATGCTCTTCCGGAAGACCCAGGTTCAAGTCCCAGCGTCCACGGGGCAGCTCATAACCACAGTCCCAAGTGATCCAGTGCCTTCTCCTGGCATCCCAGGGCACTCCATGCACACTGTACACAAACGTACATGCAGACAAAACACCCATATGCATAAAAATTAAAATAAAGGAATAAAAATTCCTAAAACAAACATTTCATGGCATCATCCAGACTTTTTAATTAATTTTGTTAATTATGTGTGCACGTGTGGTAAGAGCACATGAGCGCAGGTACTCACAGAGGCCAGAGGTCAGATCCCCCTGAGCTGGAGTTCAGTCGGTTGTGAACCTGAGATGTGGGTGGTGAGAATTGAACTCAGGTCCACAGGAAGAGCAGTAATGTGATCTTAACTGTGGAGCCATCTCTCCGGCCCCATGTTCAAGAATGTTGTCAGTGGTCCCCTTCCCTCCAGAAGGCACAGTGTTACCTTCCTGTTGTCTCTCTCACTTGTTAGTCCCCGGTTAGTTCAGAAACTCTCTAGAAATGTTTTTTTAAGATAATTTTAAATCTATAGTTGTGTGCAGTGGCATTTTTACCCTTAAGGCACTGTCTACATGACAATTCTGTTCAATCATGTGACTCCTTTTAAGACACGAGTTGCTTGGGGAGGGAGATACATTCTGAAGTCTGCAGTCTCATGGGACTAGAGAGGCTGGAGGTGGCCGGTCCACAACCTCTCCAGGAGGACAGAGGTTGGCCAAGCATTCTGACGGAAAGCTTGTCCCGAGTCCCTTGTAATGAGCAGCTTCATGACAGTATTACTGTGGAGTTTGTGACCCCTGGGAAAACTGTAGACTCAGTCAAATTATTGTTAAAAGACTTACTGATTAGCTGCTAGCAAGATGACAGCCTTAAAGCATGTCATGAAGGAGGGGTATTTGGAAAGGTTTTTTAAACCTTTTTTAAAACCACAAGACCTTCAAGCAAGCAAAAGTTAGTCTGTTCTGCCAAGTTTAAGTGGCTACGGTGACTCAAAACAATTTTTGAATATCTGTGTAAGAAATTTACAAAACAAAAAAAGCAGTTGGTTATATTATAGCAAGTAGATGGTCATGACTGGACATTTGGGTGGAGGTCACTGAGTCAATGTTGCTGGAACTTATCTTCCGAGGACTAAGTCAGAGATGGATGGCTGCTGGGTACCAAAGACAGATGCCTAGCAGAGAGCGCCTTTCCTTTAGCCATCACATTCCCACTAGATCATATGAATCAAGTCACTGATACACATTTATATAGAGCTAAAGGTTGGTATCTTAATTGTGTTGAGTGTACATACATGTGTAAGCAGCAAGTTTATGACACATGGGCCAATACAAAACAAATTTCTGGGTTTGTGTGAGTGTTCGTGTGTGTGTGTGTGTGTGTGTGCGTGTGTGTGTGTGCTTTTTTATTGTTTTGGTTTGCTTTTTATTGTGTTTTTTGTTTGGGGATTTTTTGAGAAAAGATGAAATTGCATGGTTTGGGAGGAAGGATAAGATCTGAGAGCAATTAGAAAAGGGGAAAGAATGTTATCAAAATATATTTTATGAAAAAAATTTAAATAATACATAAAATATGCTTTTTCAAAAAGCATTTGCTGCTTTGTCAGAGGATCCCAGCACTCATATCAGGTGGTTTACAATCACCTGTAACTCCAGCTCCCAGGCACGTATCACCCGCTTCTGGTCTCGACAGGCATCTTCATGCATGTGTGTACACACATGCAGACAAACATGCATATGCAATAAAATAATTAAACAATTTAAAAATATTTAAAGAAATGTTAACTTTATTCATAAATTCAAATCAGGTGGAAAATAGATAAGATAGTTTATTTACTAAGAGATAGTTAATTAATAAGAGAGATAGTTTATGTTGGGGTCTGGTCCAGAGAGAAATAATTTATGGTCCAGGCTAGCACCAGACCCTGACAATGATATAACTTCCAGTAAAATTTGATTCAAGGAAGTGAATATCACTGCCTCTAATTAGCATAGTAATGCATGATGCTTTGTGTTGGCTTCTATGTAATTTAAATTGGCTGTGATTCATGACACTTTCAGTTTTCCAGCAGCACAAAAGGGTTGACATCCCAATCAGAGAGAATGATTCACAACCAAGCATGCAACCACATGTGTTTTAATTTAAATGAAAATGATATAAATGTATTATATGAAGTAGGAAAATATACATAACATTAAAGAAACTAAATTCTTTTTAAGTTCGTTTTTCAGTTTCTTTAAATACAAGTATATCATCAATTGCTATATTATGGTACTGTGACTTTATCTTATTTTGCAGTCATTGCTGTACAAATTCATTGTTGACATAGTGCAATTTGGATAGTTGAGTTAGAGTATATTTGAATTCTCTCTATAATTGTACAAACAACTGAGGTCTAGAGTGACATGATCAACATCCATGCAACTTTGACACTCAGACAATATCCACCCCTGTGTTAACCTCTACATACCTCCTCGTCCTTTTCCCCTTCTGCATCCTTACCTCACTGTCCTACACACACACACACACACACACACACACACACACACAGTCCTCTGTTATTTTACTGTCCTACACACACACATTCAAACACACACATGCAGCTAAATTTCACACTTGGAATACAACCTGTAACACATACCTCTGTTGGGGTAGTTTATTTCACTTAGCAATGTAACAATAATGGCACCCACGTGGATAACTGCATCCACAGAAAGCCTGAGAAAGCTTGGGAAAGAATAGAGTAAAGCATGCTTTCTTGGTAGCAGCAATTTCTTGGGTCTGCTCTGCTTGCTAGAGGCAAGCAAGCACTCTCATTTAAGAGAGGTTTCCTGACTCAGCTTTAGCTACAAAACACTTCCTGCCATGAAACCCTTAAACAGTGTTGATGAAAAGCTGAACTCATGCTTTTTGGTTTCCAGCCAAAGCAGGAAAAAAAAAAGCTGTGCTGTTTTAAAATGCCGGCTTTCTGGGCTGTCCTGCCAGGGCAAACTCTGACTCTTTCAGGCAGGCAGTCTGACTAGGAAGCATTTGAGTGTGGTTTCTGAGTGCACTACTGCAGTTTGCTTGCTGGCAGGGACCTTGAAACGCCATAGAGTTGTGGTGATAAACATGGCTACAGCTAGTATTTCCGTCATGAGGCTAGAATCACAGAAAGCTAAAGAATAGGCTGGATCCAGCCGTCAAAGCCACAGCTTTAATCCTCTCCATACTGCTTAGCAAATTAAAGACTCATGTAGTCAGAAAAAGAGAAATATACAATAAAGAGAGATTCAAAGAAAAAATCTCTAAATGGTTTACTGTGTGTTAAAAATATATGCTGGCTTGGGAGAGAAAAGAAAAAGGTTAAAGTTCTTAAAAAAGAAAGAAAGAGAGTTGTTGGATGTGGTGGTACATACCTTTAATCCCAACACCTGGGAGGCAGAGATAGGAGGATCGAGGACAGTCAAAGATGTGCAGAGAACCTGTATCAAACAGAAAAAGTAAAAATAAAAGAAATAGAGGTTAAAATAAAGCCGCATAAAGGTGGAAAACACACAGAGAATCTTAATACTGTATGTTATTGTGCTCTCTTTGAATGCTGAGGAAGGAGCAACAGCTGCTAAAAGATATTTGTTTATAAATGCTGCTGAATTAATCAAAGATGGGTATTTTGAAAATACCTTGACTTCAAAATTGAAGTCAAAAGGTATGTTACTTTGGAGAAGAAATTTTGCTTTTGTTTCCACAGGAAATGAGAGGCTGTGAATCCATTCTGAGTTAAGAAAAATCAGGTTTAATCAAGGAAGACCACCTGAGAAATCTCTGATAGGAGTGGATGGCCTAGATTCAAGATGCTGCCTGAGATGATCAAGCCTCACAGGATACTCCAGTCAGGACTTGATCATAACTCTAAATTTTCTTTAGGTCCCCATAAGATTATCAGCACCCCAACCAGCAGGAAGTAGCCTCGAATACTATGTCCACATTCCCAAAAAATGGACTATGGATATTTTCCTTTGTTTAAAAAAAG